TTTTTTAATTTTACCCGTATTTTAACGATCTGAATAGCTATTATAACATGACTTCGTTGTCATGCTTTTTGAATTTTCCTATACTTGCATTTTGATTGGTCATTCTAGCTTTTGGAACAACGTTTTCCCCTTGTGAAAGATCGTTAGCGAATTTGAAACTTAAAATCATTTGTTTTGCATTCAACATCATCACTTGATAAAACACCGGGAGTGTTGAAACAAAATGGCTATTTTTGTAGTGATTTTATAACATGTTTATGTTACAAATTTTCTAAATAAATAATTATATATATATATATATATATATATATATATATATATATATATATATATATATATATATATATATCAAATATGTTGTGCAGTTCAATATATATTACAATGAATCATTCATACAAAAAGTAGATTAGTAAAGTTAATGATATAAAATGTCGAAATCAAAAGGTAAATTAAAGGTGCATTAACAAATCTACGATTCTTTCTGCATTAAATACTGTTGCCATATATAATCTGGTTTCCCCGCTGGTCATCACGAGTTTCTCGACAAAATCCAGAGACAAATATGCAATGTGATATATCGTAACCTGTCATCACGACTCCAGTCACTTTCTCACAGTCGTGATGTAGCTTCCTTCTGTCTTTTCTACAAATATTTTCATGGCAACTGCTCTGGTGATCTATTTTTACTAGTGCACCATTTGTATGAATTTAAGCCTGCTACAAGATTGGCATCGAGATCCCACCTTTTCAATGGCGAAACCTTTAAATATTACCGCCTCTTTTACTCCTTGTGTCGCACTTCCCGAAAATGGGACTCTCTTCTTCTCAATTTCTTCCCTAATAATTCTTATCTTCAAGAATTTAAATGTAATGTCATTCGACATTTTCTGATGCCTTTAACTTGATCCTCGGCCTTCTCTATGTCTTTTCCTGAAACACCCCTTTTTACTCTTACTTTCACTCTTTGCAACCCATTGAGTGGTAGTGGCTCTCCAGCTTTGCTTGGGGTGACATGCTTACTGTCGATCCCACAAAATATTTAATATCTAAAACCACTAAATTAAAGTTTCTCTTTTCGATGTTTTCAGATTAGAAGGTTAGCCATTTTGATACTATTTACCGTAAGAATCACGGAAAAACACTATAAGTTATTCAGCTAGAAAGAGAACAGGTTAAAATCATTTTGTGTCAACCCAACCATATCTTTTCAACTGATCAGGCTTTCAGTAATGGTATCAACATCCATACTCTGGCTTCCATCTTCAAATTGCATTAAAGAACCATAAAG